GCGGGATCGTGGATGAGCACTGCTGAGGTGTACTCGAATAGGACGAAACGGCCGTCTAGTGCTTCTAAGTTCTCAATGGTGGTCTAACATCAATCGGTTCATGATCTCAATCAAAAATGTAGATAGTATTGATAATTAACATTCCCTAATTCATTTGATATTTACATTACTAAATAAGGTATCATATTAATTTTCTATAATCAGTTTACAAATCTAATTTTCTTTTTTTTTCTTTTCTTTACTTTTCTTTTCTTTTTTTATGAACTTTGCATTGACCTTAAGTATAAATAGAAAAGAAGAATGACCTATATTTCATATATTATTTTATATTTAATCAAGTTAGTTGATTAGTAGTTAGAAAGTTTAATTTTATTCCATGTTAACTAAAATTCCATGTTGATACATGCTTAATATTATGAAGTCGGTAAAATAGTTTGATCTATTATATGATATAAATCATAATGGTTATTAACAATAATTACTTATAACCGTTAAAATCAAGATTTATAATAGTTATATTGAGTTATTCAGTTAAAGATTGATTTTGATGGTTATTTTATTCATATCAGAATGGGTTTTGTGGAGATTGTAGTCATTTCAATGGTTGAGATTATGAGTCAATTGAAGCTAGAATACTATGGAAAGCCTGGAAGCATTGAATAGCTGTTTCGTTCTATTGTGGGACTCCTCCTTGATAGTGCGCATCTATGATTTTGACCCTAGAGATTCGAACATAAGACTTATCAGTTTCACTCGTGAACGATTAACCACTAGACTACTGAGTCGCACAATAGAATGAAACGGCCGTCAAGTGCTTCCACGTTTTCCTAGGGTGATCTAGCTTCAACAGACTCATGATCTCAACCATTGAGGTTATTTTATTCTGGATTATGAATGAACAGTGGGACTATAATTTATGGGTGACATTTAAGGGACTTTAAAGTGACCTTGAGAACGTCCATCTACTAATTACGATCAAATAAGGGTTATAAACCAGTGTGAAGAGTTAGAATTATGATTTACAGTTAAGATGATGGTTGGATGTAGTCAACAGGAAACCCTGGACCTGAATACCGTGCTACTTGGCACTCGTCAGCAAGGTATACCTGTAATCTTGAGGGAACTGGTGCTCCCTGGTGGATTCGATCCCGTATCACCCAGCTTCACTTGGTCTATAGCACTTGATCTGCACTAAGAAGGACTTGACACACATGACATTGATCACCACCCAGTGATCAATCAATTGTGATTATGATTTACAGTTGATGATTAAGGTTAGAAATTAGATTCAGGGTTTTCATCAGGAACTGACATCGACTATAATACCAAAATGATATTTTACCAAATGTATGGATGAATTTCGCGCCAAAATCCAAGACTTATTATTTTGTATTTGATTGGTTCATCCATAAATTATAGTCTTGCCAAATTGTATCAAAGAAGCTTAAACCTTATCGTAATGTATTTTTTTTTCAATATTACTAGGTGATAGATAGTATGAACATTAAAATGTGATACATCCTCCACGTTCATTAGTGATGCTACCCAAATACGTATAAGTTTCCATCTCTTCCAGAGTTTCTCCATCAAGTGTGATTGAGTTGGTGTTCTCTATGTTGTGTTTCAGGATCTCAGTTTTCCCTTGTGTATGTTGAGGCCTATTGATGCAGAGACTGGTGCTACACTGTTTATCTTGACTTGCATTCACTGGTGTGTATGAGACAGAGGAGCTAGTTAATCTGCAAAGTCTAAATCGTCTAGTTGAATCCAACCTGTCCACTGAATCCCGTGCTTCACCTCAGATTTCGAAATCCTCATAATCCAATCAATCACCAGAAGAAAAAGAAAGATGGAGAATAAGCAGCTTTGTCTGTCTCCTGTCTTCAATTGGAATCCATCTCTCATCTGTCTTTCATACACGACATTACAGTGTAGTCCGTCATATAAATTCTGGATGATGATGACGATTTTCTCAGGTATACAGTAGTGTCGAAAAAGGCTCCATAATGTCCTCCTATCCACATTGTTAAACGCGTTCTCATAGCGAAGAAAGTTGATGTATGGTGGCGAGTTCTATTTAATTGGTTATTCAACGATAATCCGTAGTGTGCACAACTAATCCTTACGGAATACGACCTATTAATCTCGAAGCTGGATGTCTACTGAATCTTTAACTCGGTTCATCAATATTCTGTTGAAATCTTCTGCTAGTACCAGTAGTAGTATGATACCGCTTTATTGATTGAATCATGATTTCAATCAAAAACTTAACAATCTCCACAACACCTAAACTGATGATACTTCTTTAATCCGCATATTTGCTCAAATCTCCTTACTTTGGTGTGTTGATAAGATATCCTTCTTTCCAAACTATTGACACCTAATTCTCCTCTCAAATCTTTCTGAATAGAATAGGAAACAATATTTACAAATGCTTTTATTGTCTAACTTTAATGCTTTGGCTTATATATTGCCAGATCTTTATTACTTTCTCTACTTTAAATATAGTGTTTGCTTTAATACAGAAAACAGCTGGTTTATATTTTGTTTCTATATAGAGATGAAATTACATTGTAAACAATTATTTATTTTTAGTCAAGTTATATATATAAAGTCACGCATATACAAATTAATACACAGTAAACATGAAATTTGACTTAGTAAATAATTTACACATAAATTAAAGTAGTATAAATCATCATACAGAATGAATAGAATAGGCCATTTTCTTTCCCATAAGTTCCTGTTTCATAAGATAAACAAAATGATCTGGTTTATATTATTTCTTTTTTAATATCTATTATATATATTTATTAGATTATGGAGTTTTTTTTATTTTGAGGCAAGTCGTGTTTGGAAGAAAGCTGAGAAATGGATTCCAAGTGAAGACAGGAGACAAACAAGGCTGCTTATTCTCCATCTTTCTTTTTCTTCTGGTGATTGATTGGATTATGAGGATTTCGACATCTGAGGTGAAGCACGGGATTCAGTGGACAGGTTGGATTCAACTAGACGATTTAGAATTTGCAGATTAACTAGCTCCTCTGTCTCATACACACCAGTGAATGCAAGGCAAGATAAACAGTGTAGCACCAGTCTCTGCATCAATAGGCCTCAACATACATAAGGGAAAACTGAGATCCTGAAACACAACACAGAGAACACCAACTCAATCACACTTGATGGAGAAACTCTGGAAGAGATGGAAACTTATACGTATTTGGGTAGCATCATTGATTGATCACTGGATGGTGATAGTACAGATCAAATCCTATCGACCGAAGAGCATCAGTTCCCTGAAAATTACAAGTACACCTTACTAACGTATGCCAAGTAGTACGAAACTTAAATTCAGGGTTTTCTATTGACTTCTTCTAACTAACATCTTAATGTTTAAATCTACATATAGAATGAAGGAATATAACATTGAATATTCTATAGAAAAAAAACAGTAATATTTTGATTGCATACATAAATCTCTTCAACTTATCAAAAATGAAAAACAACACTTTCATATATACATGCTGGTAGAACTAGTTACAAATACATTTGTGCATATTAATAATAACATAACACAATAATAGAAATAACAGTAATGACATATTACTTGTCAAGTGTATAACTAAATTAATTATGACATGAATTAAGTAGTTTACACATATATAATAAGTAGTTAATATTATTTGTGTGTGTGTGTGTGCGTGTTTGACTTCATTTCTTTCTATGATGGTCTGAGGTCAAAACATGAATCAAATGAGTAATTTCATACATTTATATAATTCACAGATTATTATAAATGAAATAGTAGTTATGAGTGAATCTACTGTTTTTGATGTTATATAAACCTTTGCTTAAAATGATTTCATTTTCATTGTTCTTTAATGTTATGTAATGAGTAATATGAATCATATATATGTTTATTGTTATTTATATGTATATATGTGCATTAAATATATAGAGTTGAAACCAATATATGTTGGACTATTCATCAATACGCTTACTAACCTTCTTTCATCTTATATATATATATGTACATATGAACACATATTACTTATAAGCAAAGATGGATAGTGGTTAGCAGTGGAATGTAGGACGCGCATTTAATCCTATTCGGGACTCATCAGAGGAATGTACCTGCATCTCAAAGTTGATGTTCATTCTGAGACTTGAACCCAGTACCGTTTGCTTCAAACGTTATCCTGTTAATCTACTTAACTACTGGGTCCTGATAGCCACCTGCTTGTATTATATATACTTAAATCATTAAAACATATTTCAATGACATTTCAGATAAAATAGAAAATATTGTGAAAGATGTAGAAAAAAAAAAGAAAAGATTTGTTAACCATTATAGCACAAAAAGTTGTCATTTGACAATGAGCAAGTAGTGTAAGATTTAATATCAAAGGATTGATTTATATTTATTAATATCAGAAGGGATTTTTTTGGATATTATAGTAATTTCAATGGTTGAGATCATGATTCAAGTGAAGCTAGTCCACTATGGAAAACGTGGAATCACTGGACGGTAGTTTCGTCCTATGGTGAGACTCCTCAGAAAATAATAAATAGAAAATAATAATATGATCATTTCGTAGGAAAAAAAATAGTTCTGACATATATATTTATTGAAGTATAATAACAAAATGAGTTTCTTTTATTTAGAAGCATTTTTATGGCATTTTGTAGGATTTGACTCCAACTGAATTGTATGCTGATAGTCATCGGAATACAGATGTCGGCTATCCTCGTATATAATCATCGACTTAAATCGCATTAATGAATAACAGAATTAAATAAGTCTAATACGTGAATGGATTTTTGAATACATATATTTTGTATACTCATTGATGAGAACAGGAAATGAAAGCGACGAAGCAAATAGAAGAGAGAGAAGTGAAAGGAGGCACGGTGAAGGCGTGTAAGCCGATTTGATTTAACCAGGCGTTAATCGATATTTTTAGTCACACAAAAACAAGTTACAGACATGTAATGAATAGGATAAGAAGTGTACACACATACGTTCATATAAAAATAGTCAAGGTTGATAAGTGATTATTTAACAAGATCAAAACATGACTGAAGTAAAGTGAACAAATTTGACTGTACGGAGGCTAGAATAAGATATGTGGGCTTAATATAGTAACCGACACTACAGCATTCTAGGTAATTGCATGAACTTGGATGTATGTATGTGTTTGAAGGAAATTAAAAGCTATGTATCGGGTTTATTGAAATTACAACTACAGTTCTCTTATTGTTATCATAAAGTAGGGAATGTTTATGTCTTTTTGTTGACTAACGTCTACTAGGTAGGTTTTTATTACTTATAAATAGGATCAAATAGAGTTCAGTTTTGCTCATCTAGACATATTTCAGTTTCTGTTGTAAATTATAAAGTGCCTTGGATTAGTTCGTTATTCATTGTGTCTTTGAAGACTAGAGATTACTGTTAATTTGTTTGAAGGTATTCTGAATAAAACCAAACACTAGTCAAATACATATTTGGTAAAATCTCAATAATCATATCATCGCTAGTGTTTTTATTAGAGCTCGAACTCAGTAACCATTACTTCAACTAGACAAATAAGTCATGATACATACTTTCCATCTAATAGGCTTCCATTGTTGCTAGAACACAAGTGGAGACAATCAAATGTATTTAAATGCAAAATTACAAAATCCCAATAAAATCTGAGAATCATAGAGTAAGAAGTATTAGCTCCTTTTTAACAACTTATCACTTATTCATCTATGATATAAATCGATTGTTGTCTACAGTTGTTTCGAGTTAGATCGTCATCATCATCATCATCATCATCATCATCATCATCATCATCATCATCATCATCATCATCATCATCATCATCATCATCATCATCATCATCATCATCATCATCATCATCATCATCATCATCATCATCATCATCATCATCATCATCATCATCATCATCATCATCATCATCATCATCATCATCATCATCATCATCATCATCATCATCATCATCATCATCATCATCATCATCATCATCATCATCATCATCATCATCATCATCATCATCATCATCATCATCATCATCATCATCATCATCATCATCATCATCATCATCATCATCATCATCATCATCATCATCATCATCATCATCATCATCATCATCATCATCATCATCATCATCATCATCATCATCATCATCATCATCATCATCATCATCATCATCATCATCATCATCATCATCATCATCATCATCATCATCATCATCATCATCATCATCATCATCATCATCATCATCATCATCATCATCATCATCATCATCATCATCATCATCATCATCATCATCATCATCATCATCATCATCATCATCATCATCATCATCATCATCATCATCATCATCATCATCATCATCATCATCATCATCATCATCATCATCATCATCATCATCATCATCATCATCATCATCATCATCATCATCATCATCATCATCATCATCATCATCATCATCATCATCATCATCATCATCATCATCATCATCATCATCATCATCATCATCATCATCATCATCATCATCATCATCATCATCATCATCATCATCATCATCATCATCATCATCATCATCATCATCATCATCATCATCATCATCATCATCATCATCATCATCATCATCATCATCATCATCATCATCATCATCATCATCATCATCATCATCATCATCATCATCATCATCATCATCATCATCATCATCATCATCATCATCATCATCATCATCATCATCATCATCATCATCATCATCATCATCATCATCATCATCATCATCATCATCATCATCATCATCATCATCATCATCATCATCATCATCATCATCATCATCATCATCATCATCATCATCATCATCATCATCATCATCATCATCAATCATCATCATCATCATCATCATCATCATCATCATCATCATCATCATCATCATCATCATCATCATCATCATCATCATCATCATCATCATCATCATCATCATCATCATCATCATCATCATCATCATCATCATCATCATCATCATCATCATCATCACCATCATCCTACACTTCTTGAAATCACTACATACTTTGCATTATATATTTACAAATGAAAAACCAATCAGTCAGTGAGCTACAACGTAGGACCAGGCACATATATGCATCCGTCCAAGTTACCATACCTCGTTGGTACATCAAGTTGAGAACCGGATTCATAGAAGCAGTTAACTCAATGGTGTAATTTATAAAAGAAAGATTGCATATAAGGACATAGTACAGGAAGAAAAAATTAGTTTGTAGAAGGACAGATATGAAGCTATTTTACTCTCATATTTTAGAGGAAGATAGAGAGTGTATACATCTACGCCATCATGTCCAATTCTGACCCATATCACACAGAGTCTTCAACTATTGATTACGATAGTCACGCGAACCCTTATCAATTAGTCTAAACCTATTAACATGACTCAGACTAGAAGTTAGTAACTTCATGGATTGATGCCACGATTTGGTTTGGCCACCCCTAACCAGTAAAAATGATTGATTGTACCTTGTAAAGAAACAACAACAACAAAAAGAAAGCCAATAGCTTTGAATAGAATAGTTTTAAGAACCAATATAATAATAATAACTACTTATTTGACTACTTATTTGTCATTATAAAATGAATAATAATTCAGATCATTTTGACAATTTGACATAATGAAAATCATAGCGGAATAAGCAAAAAATCACTTTTATTTTTTTATTTACAAAAAAAAAGTTATTTTGACAGTTTATATTTACTTCACGTGAGTATTTTATCCATAGTAAATAGTTTTGACAGTAGTTTATAACTTTAGATAATAGACATCAATTGACAATTTGAACTGTAAATATTTTAGTATTTTAAATAGAATAATAATGAATAAAGTTCATGGTGGTAGTTAGTAATGGAATTCAGGACATACATTTCATCCTAAGATGTAATTTTACATCTCAGAGTTGTTGTTCACTTCAGGTGAGATTCGAACTCATTACTGTTCGATTTAAATGTCATCACATTATCCACTTGGCTATTGAGTTCAGATAGCTATTAGCTTGTGTAGTAGAGTGAAGTTTTAATTGATTTTGGTATTGTTTGTTTAGATCTTCTCACTGATGTTTAAGATTGCAATCGATTGTTCAAATTAGGATGAAATGTGTATCCTGAATTCCACTGCTAGTCACTATTTATTTAAGCTTGTAATGCTTGTGACTGAAGTCAATATATGAGGCAATCCGAACAGGATGTACATATGCCAATAAGAGACTGACTAATCCCAGTTCTAAATATCAATGGGAATATTCAAATAAACAATACAAAAAGAAATATGATGGTTAGTATCTTCGTAATTGAATTTTCAAATATGTTTCTATAAGCTGCTATGAGTATACATCACATCTGTACTTGATACAATTTGACTAACTTGCTTATGAATATTGTGATGTATATATAGATTACTAACCCTTTATAAATGATGAAGTGTTTGATCGACAGACATTATTCTGATATAGATAATCTGTAAGCAACAGCCAGGTTTACCCGTAGAAAATTTCGTCTTCCATGAATATTGAACAATCTTTTCTCAGTGCTAGAAAAATATGTATCTAATTTATAAATTTCCAAGTTGACACAGTTTAAAGGGGACTGTTTTCATTGTAAGCAAAATGTATATCAGATGATCGTCATGTTTTTTTTACATCTGTTCAATTCAACTAGCGTTGAATAGTGATGAACATGTTTGATTTCACGAACTTAGTATCAGGAAAATGTAGTAGTTAGGATTTTGAACTAAAGCATTCGTATAAAAACATGGTGAGACTATAATCTATGAATGACCTTTGAACGGCGCTCGAGTGACCTTGAGAATATCCACCTACTTACTTGAGCTAAATGACTGTTATAAAGCAGTTTAAAGAATAAGGACTATAACAGACAGTTGATGGTTAGTTTCGGGAATTAGATTAAGGGCTTTCACCACGAACTGACGCAATTTAAACAAATGAGTGAATGAATTTCGCACCAAAATCTGAGACCTGATATGTTGAATGGGATTGGCTCGTCCATAAACTTTAGTCTCGTCAAAAACATCACTACTCTTTGTACAAGCACTACATTATATACATTATTGCCCAACTAAATCATTACTTGCTAAGAAACAATGTTATCTTAAGAAATTGCTTCTTGTTCACAAGTAAAATTGATTAAGGTGTAAAACGAATATTCTTAGACAGCTGGACAATGAAAATCCATGGCACAAATGTGTATTGGCTCAATTATCAAAATTCAAATAAACATAGTAAACGAATAAGGGTCAGAGACGAAACAAAGGAGTGCAAATACTAATACTAATGGTTGCAGTAGAGAACAACTGAATGAAATATGAAATGGTTGATACAGAATAACCCAATTTTACAGTTTGATCTATAAAGCAATTAAGATTAGATACATTCTCGTTCTTTTCGATTGTTTGCCATGAAGTGTTTGATCGGTGACTATAGTTTCTTTCATCGACATGAGTATTGATTTATGGAAAAAAAATAGTTACCTCTGAACAGTCGTTTATTCAAGTCAATAATCTGTTTCAAAATCATTTTGAGATTACACTGCTTTACTTATAAACTAGAATGTTGAAACTACAGTAACTTCAATTCACCATTTGACTGAAGTTTTTCGAAAATGTTTCATTGATTAGAAAAAGTTTTTCTATAAAAATAAAAAGTTTGCCGACAGATATCGGTTTTATTAAAATATTAAAAAAAGTGGTTTCAGTTATGTTTTGTTGAGTAAACTTAATGTAATGAACATTAAGAAAAAAAACAGAGTGGATAATATAGAAGGGGTTCAATGTGATCTAAATAAAGGAATCACTGCTAGTCAGTATCTAAATCTCTTTTTGGATCGTACTTATCTTTAAAGAACACCTTTAAGTATTTCGTTTTAGTATTTGAAATATATAGAAAATAAACTTGAGATTTTATAGCTTTGCTTTGTAATTTTAATAGTTGAATTCATGAGTCTGTTTAAACTAGATCATCATTGAAAAACTGGAAGCACTGCATGGTCTTCTCATCCTAGGATGAGAATCCTCAACAGTGTACATTCACAATCCCACACTCAACACATTCAGTCTCACGTGCGAACATTTAAACTTTAGAGAACTGAGCCGATATCCAACGGTGTTAATGTCTAACTTCATCCAATCCACGAAATTTAGCGACCATCTTCGATTATACTGAGGTAGATACCTGTCTCTACTCAACACCGATTGAACTCTACTGGTCACAGCTTCTCACTGGAACTCTAGGAGGCCCATCCTAAAGTTAGTTGTTAGTTAGCACATTGATGATTATTAGCTGTATGGGGGTTTTTGGAGATTGTAACTTTCGAATGGTTACCATACAAGTGTTGTCGTTAACCATTCTATCATTGAATTTGTACTCTACCATAATGCATGATTATACCATAGTTCGTTTTTTATAATTCATTATTATATTCATGAAGATCATGAAAAAGAGAAAAATGTCCTCCATAATCCATTAATTACATAAGAATTGTGTATTTGTCAGCAATAGACAATAGAAAAGATTTCTAGTTCTACTCTAAGTTGAATAAAGTCTTAAACGATGAACCATCGAGTATGAACGCGGTAGCTCAATGATATCATACTTAATTCAATATCTTGATCTAATACGTAATTGGTAAATGAAAATGTTGCAGTTTTAAAGTTATATGAAATAGTTTACCGAAACTTCAAAGTATCATTTCATGGGTAAAAATATCTACATAACCAAACATCTATTAACAAATCTTTATATAAAATGCTGAATTACATATCATCATAAGTTACTTAACATCAAGTCCATAGATACTAGTACGCATTACTGATCAATTAATTTCAGATACTTTTCTGAAGATAGCGTTTCTGTAGCGAGTTCGTTTTCTACGGGATGAGTTCGTTAACTTCATGTCCAACCCTCCTCCTTTATTCGGGCTTGAGACCGGAAGAAGTTCCAGGCTCCAGGCGAACTTTTCTGAAGAAATATTGTAATTTTATCAATTATGATAACTTTATTAAGTACTCATCGAATTCAACAAATTAATGAAACAAATCTACTTAAATCAAGAAGAATATCATCAATAATTTTTTTTTCTTTTTTTCAGTTTAGAAAAATTATTTACTATCGGTTTTTTATGATATATCGGATGCATGATCTTTTGTAATATACTTATTCCTTCTTATTGAAAAGGTGAATAAACTAAATAGAAGGTAGTTTGTTTGAAAAGTAAAAAAATGTGATTTAATAGCTGAATTCATGAGTCAATTGAAGCCACACCACCATAGAAAACCTGGAAGAACTGGACGGTCAGTGCAGTTCAACCGGGTCTGTTGTGAGATAGTAACTCACTGATGACAATGGTGGACGGTGGCTCAACTTCTTGGATTGGTTAAAGTTAGGACACTAACACCGTTGGATGTCGGCTCAGTGGTATAGAGGTTAAATGTTCGCACGTCAGACTGAAGGTGGTGAGTTCTAGTCTCCTTGGTGTGAGATTGTTGATCTACACTGTTGAAGATTCTCATACTAGGACGAGATGGTCATGCAGTGCTTCCAGGTTTTCAATGGTGATCTGGCTTTGACTGACTTATGAATTCAACTATTAAAAATAACTACAATCTCCACGAAGCTCCATTTTATTAATAAAAAATTTGTCAATATATGATTGTTCATAAATTTACGGAATATTGATTGATATTGCTCAACATTCAATTTATTTGAGTAACGTATTTTTCATCATGAGTTAACATGGGTTTAGGAAATCGCAATGATTCAGACTGTGCTGTATGTCTGCAGTTCATGCTTAATGTAAACGACTGTGACG